AAAAAAAAAAAAAAACAGACATCTCCGTCTTATTTCATCCAAGGATGATGCCACAAAGCCCAGAGACGTATCATTACACAACTCCCAACACAATGCCTTCTCTCAGTCACTCACCATCGCTTTCCCTGTTATCCCTACCTTTTTTCTTTTTTTTTTGCATCAGAAGATCCTTTTTTTTTTCCTCTTCTGTTGTTGCTACTTCACCTCACTGACGGCATACACACATGTTCTACAAGAAGTAGTCCGGAAGCACGCGCATTAAATATAGCACCACACACTTCGACTCCGCAAAGGGAACTTCGGTGCAGTAGAAGAGCGTCTCAACGTAGCGCTGACATGCGCCGTAGTGCCCCACCCAGACGCACATAAGACGAAACATGTTCCGGAAAAAGCAACCCCCGTATCGGTGGTAATATTGCTCGCTCGAGCTCAGCGGGGCGCAGTGCCCGTGTAAGAGGAAAGCAGAACAACGCGATGTCCCATCATTCGCCGTGCAGAAGCAGGAACTTTCACCTGCAGGGTGACCGCTGCGGTTTCCTGATCCCCTACTACGACGGTTCCGCCTCTTGGCACACTGCACTGGCGCATCGCGTTGCTTCTTCCACTTTTCATAGTTCACTGTCGCTAGAGGCTTGAGCTTTCTTAGTATATCATGTACCGCACTTGCCCCACCCATGCGAGCAGCACGAACAAACACCAGGACGCACGTAGTAACCACACAGAGTCGTCCGGCATTCTGAATTCGTTCCGCGTTCAATGGGCCAAGCATGCTGTACACTAGTCTATGGGGTTCCTGCAGCAGCGCCTTCTCAAGCCCTGCGAGCGTGCCTAGACCACCGTCATCGGTGTCTGTGAACTCAGGGAAGAGCGGGACTACAAGGTGCGACGGGGGCCCGATGGGTGGTAGCTCAATTTCCCCCATGACAATTGCTCGGTCATAATCGTTAAACAAGCAAGGGAATGGCCTTTCCCCGAGCGGGGAGCGGTGTGGGGAGCGCAAAAGTATTTGCAGCACGTCCCACATCGTGAGTGTTGAAGCGGAGGAAGAGGGATCTTGTTCTGGGTCGGCGGAGGACGCTGCTTCTGCTGTCACACCCTCTTCCTCGCGCAGGCTCCTCTCCGTCCCCCGTAGCCGCTCGCTCAGAAGTGTTACAAACCGCCTAGAGTTCCTCGCAATGTAGTTTAGACGATTCGGGTGCCCTGTCACGACGTCCCCAATGCGGGCGACGCTGTCCAGTGATTCTTTCGCATCCACAGTAGACGGTGTCACGGGCCTCCACACATAGTTCATCGTGGAGCGTAGGCCTGGCGTCAGTGAAAGGATGAGGCTGCGCACAAAGAGATTTGTGTCGCACCCGTGACGTGAAATACGCCGCAGAAGGACTTTTGCAAACGGCTCGTGTTCTTCTCGATCCAAAGGCGGCATCCGCAGCAACTGCTCCATATGCTCTGATGCTATGTGGATCTGACGCACGTGTGAGGAAGTCGTCGCGGCAGGATTGTTTAGGTGACACAGGCTAACCGATCCAACCACATAGTCTTGCAAAAGTGTGAGGTTGCCATGATGGTAACGAATGAGCTCGCCGAGGAGTGCAAAAAAGCTGTCGATGCGCTTTGACGGGGAAAGTGAGCCGCTAACACCAGGCACATACGTCGCATTGTACACACGGTGCTCGAGGATGGACTGCATGAGTACTTTGCCTACCACCGTTTGCGCCGAGCCCGGCACGCCCTTCACCTTTAACGGGAAAGAGAAGCAGCGGAGGTACCCCTCAAGCGCGTGGCACGCAGATGTCTCTACACAGCTGTCTTCAGTACGCTCGACCAGCGTCATAGCGATCTTCATCGCAAGTGGAGCCGATTTTTCGGGTGTGTCGCCCTCGTGTAACATGGCGCATTCATGCCGGCCCTGTGCGTTCCAAAACTCCTGCACACCACGCAGAAGTTCGAGTTTTCGAATTGTGTTCGGTTCGTGTTGATGGTCCTTGTCATCAAAGATGTCATCATCGTCGGAGACGCCGTGGTGTGCACTGTGGCGTATGTACGCCTCGGTATCTTCGCCTGAGTGCGCCGCCAGAAGCAATCGCTCCTTTCGGTGCTCGCTCTCACTATTATAACTATCATAAGCATCATCGTTACTGTTGCTGTTGTTATTAGGTCCCCCATGTTCAGATACTTCCATCCCTTCGTTTGCCGCACCGCCACTCTCGTGTGGTGAGAGGAATCGTGGGAGCTGGCGTAGCTCTGTTGCTTGCTGGAGCTGCTCTAGATACGGCGACAAGGAGTGATCGGCGGCGCTTGGGTCGAAAGCCGCATCGTAGAATCTCTTGGCAGCCTCCATCCAGTGGCAGTCTCGCAAAGTGCACCAGACATCCCCCAAGAAAAATGTAGACAACATGAGGTTGAGCACAAACAAAATTTCGCTCTGCGCGCCCACGATTACCTGCGGGCTGTGGGAAACGGTGGATACCCGTGACTCTGAATTGAGAAAATGAGCAAAATCGCGGCACTGCTGACGAAATGCTTCACAGGCCCTCTTATTGGTCACCGGCCCAAACCCACAGAGGAGAGGGCGATTGTCATCTACCTCCTCACGGAGCGTCAAGTCACGCAGCCTCCATCGCTGCTTTGCGTCGGTGCAGCCCACAAACCAGCTGAAGTCTACATTCGAGCCGACTGCAGCAACGGAAGCAGCAGATGTCCCGTCTTCAAATGCCCACGACTCCGCAAAAGTGCCAAGGGCCCTATCCAGCACTGTCTCCACGATGTCATCCCCCGACAATCCCTGTGTGTAACCCCGAGCCCCACGCCAATCGTTCCGTGTTGTAGTGTCATTAACGTTGCCGCGGCTCATCGCACGCGTGGCGGAAAGTGCCATTGGACCAAAGTCTAACCCACCGAAAAGGGTATTGGGGAGGATGGATCCGCCCGGCTCCAGCGGCGCCGCAACTGCGGTGGTGGCCCACTCGTCGAGGAACGGCTGCGTCATGGGCATGCCCGAAAAGGCTGTCGCCCGATCAATACGATGCAGGCCGAGGTCATCGTTCGATCCGCGTACTTCACATAGCTTGACAAGCCGCTTGACAAGGTCCTTCTCACCGATCAGCCACAGCACATTGCTGTCAATCACGCGTTGAATGCGTTGAAGCGGTAGGAGAGACTCTGGGAAGAGAAGACGTTGATGCGGTGACTCGCGTTGATTCAGCACCACCCCTGGTACAATAAGCAGTGCAATCACACGGCACAAAATGGCAAGAGTCGCGTCATTATCGGTACGAATCAGCTCCTGCAACACGGGTACTTTCGATATTTCCAGCACAGGACCCACACTTAGGAATAAGTGTTCTAACATCACCAGGGCGGTTAATCGCATATCCGGCACCTTTGCGAACTCCAGAAGCTGGAAAAAGAGTCCAGGGTAGTGATCATAGTAGTACCACCCCAGCTCATTGTGGCACACCAGCAACTCCGTCAGCACGCGCATTATCAATGTGATAGCCTTTACGAGTTGCCATGAGGCCTGGGTTGTAGTGTTACTTGGGACGGATTTCTGTGCGGCCTGCTTTTTGAGGAGTGCTGGAAAACCCACATCGCAGAGCAAGGTTACAAATAAGTCAATGCCACCGAGTCCCACGAAGTACACTAAGAGATGCGGTTTGTTGGGATCAAAGTAGGCGGCACAATCCTGTAGCCATCGGTTCAGTGAAGCGAGGTCACCACGTTCCCAGGCCGCCATGATTTGTTTAAGCAAATTTGATTGATCACCAGAGAGGGTGTTGAGTTCTCTGAGCTGCACCAACTCACCCGCCGTGATCGTCAAGGAGCACTGCGCCCAGGGGGGTACCCCGCGAACATGGGCAGGCCCTCTGCCGGCCAGCTGCTCCCGTATCGACAGAAATAACGACATATTCCCCACCCTAATCTCACTACGCAAAAAAAAAAATGAAAGGTGTGAATTCAAGCAATACGAGATATCGACCTTTGACGTTCAAAAACCAAAAAAAAAGAAGATGACAATGTGAAAAAGAACACAAATAATTCACGTAAGCGCAATGAAAAAACTACAATATATCAGATGGCAAAAAACAAAAGGGAAATCACTCGTCCTTGAATGACGAGAGGCCAGCATCATAAAAGCCAACCTAGTGCGTTTCTTTGTTGGAGCTTGAAGCTTACCTGCGAAACGCGCCCAGTAAAGAGGAGCCTCCCCCACACACCTCTCATTCGATGGAATACACTCTATAAATAAATAATATTCACACAGGTTGCACTTGCAACCTCAGCAGAAGAGCACAAAAATGTTCTTTACCAACAAATGGGTTTCATAGATGCACTGATGTTTTCCTCAGCACCTTTGTCGTCCCTCCTCTATCTCTTTCTTTCTTTCCTCGCTTGGTATCATGCGCGTTCGAATGCATACTTGCCTTTCTTTTCTTGCTAGGCAAGAACTGCCATCACCACCACCACCACCACCACCTCCTCCTCCTCTTCCTCATTCTCCTTCTCATTTCCTGGCTTCAATTAGCATTGCTGCCTCTACAGTCGCTGCACGGAGCCCTTTCGCTTCGGCGGATTGGCGTCCTTCAACGGCGCGGGACTCAAATGCGGCTGGTAGCCATCATTCGGTTTTGTCGACGTCTGCAGCGACACCTCTGGGGGCTTGCGCTCCCTCGGCAGCTCCAACGGCTCCGCCGGTGGCTCCGACCTTTCCGTACGGTTTTGGCAGGTTTGCGGAAGCTCCGCCGGCCCGCCACACGTGCCACCACTGTGGACACTGACACTGCGCCGATAATTCCTCTCATGGACACTGGAACCGCGCTGCTCGCTGGTATCCTTGGCAGAGTGAGTACGCTTATAGCCGTCGCCGTCGTAGATACTCCCGTGTTGGAAAGGCTCTGTGCTTCTCAGCTGCTGCACAGACTGCCCCTGCTGCTGGAGTCCAGTGAAGTTGGGCGGCGGAGTTCGAACACCACTGGCACAGCTCCTGGATCCCTTCGCATAGTTGCCATGACCGCTAGGGTCACGGTTGGTGGGGGCATCTTCGGCGTGATCGTGGGGGCTGCTGGCGCTGTTCTTGCCGGTAATTCGAGACACCATCCCCAGATCGGCTGAGCCCAGCGGATTGCTACCACATAAGCATTCTCTCCTCCGTTCCAGTGCGGCAACGCGTGCCTCAAGTGTCTTTTGTCTCTGCCTCTGCTCACCAAGCTCCTGTTGCAGATGCTCAACAATGCGTCTGATGGTCTCACTTGTCTTTTGATCTAACTGGGATCGGTACAGTTCCTGGAGCAATACCTCCGTTACCCCGTTGCGTGATGCGCCAGACTCTCTCTGGTAGTATTGCTCCTCCCGCATCGACGGCGGCGGCGGCGGCGGCGGCGGCGGTGGCTGCTGCTGCTGCTGCACTGCCTTCTGCACCGAGTCATTCTGCGGGAAGGAGTAGTTATGCTCCTGTGGGCCCCGTGACGAGTGACGCGAGTGCGTATCAGAGTCTTTGTGAGAATGAGAGCGTTCATGCTGGCGTCGGTGTGACGGGCTCCCGGTGCGTGACGACATTGCGCCACGGGAAGAAGCCCGTGAGTGGCGCCGCGACTGTGCTCGCGAGAACCGGCGAAGACTCGTTGTTGCAACATAGGCGTCGCGATCGTCGGGGCCAACGTAAATTGGGTGCTGCCCACGCTCATCTCGTTCCTCGTTCCCGTCGTCGATGTACTTTGCGATGGGCTGACAGGCGTCTGTTACTATCGCTGCCAGAGTATTATTTGATTTTTGTATGCTGTCGATGATTTCCCACACACTCTCCGGGTGCAGCTTCCATCCGTAGATGTCGAGCAGCAGCAAGGTTCGGTTAGCGCGCAGTGCGGAGAGTACCACCGCCGCAGAGTCCGGCGTTGGGTTCATGAAACCGAGGAACAGCTGGATGAGCGAAGTGTTGCGCTGAAGTACTTCCGCATACATCTCGATTGTCTCACTGTCAAAGAGATTGTGACGCAAATTAAGGCGCTGAATATTGCACGTGCTCGTCATGAGCGCGCGAGCCAACTCCTTGCCGCCGCTGGGGCCGATGCGGTTGGCGGTGAGGTCGAGTGTCGACAAGCTGACTGTCACAGGGATGCACTGCGCGAACTGCGCGGCACCGGTGTCGCGGATAGCGTTGTAGCCGAGGTGCAGGTGCTTTAGCTTCCCCGCCTGCCGTATCGCCTGGCCTAAAAAGGTCGCAGCGTCCGCCTCGATCTTGTTATTGTGGAACGAGAGCTCCACGATGTCGCACGACTCATTGGCAAGTGCAGCGGCGATGGGGATGACGCCGAGATTCGTGATTTCGTTCTCTGAGAGGTCGAGCACCTTTAGGCCGCAGCCGTCGCGCGAGAGCGTGTGCCCAATGACCACCGCTGCCTGGTCCTTTAGCTTGTTGCGGCCCAGTCGCAGCTCGCGCACGATGCCGGGGTTCTCCTCGACCGCCTCAAGCAGCGCCTGGAGGCCCGGCAGACCAAAGGCGTTGCCCTCAATGTTCAGCACGCGCAGCGGGTGCGTCGTGATGCGCAGCGCCTCGGCGATGCAGCTCACGTCGATGTCGTTGAGGTGCACAGCGCGGTCGGAGAGGGAGACTTCCTTCTCATTGTTTTCAAAGGCATACACCAGCTCCAGTGCGCACTCCGCGTGTTCGCGGTTGCACGCCTCAACGTAAATGGCAGCCGCATCCGAGTGCATCTGTGACATTTTTTTTTGTTTTCTCTATCGTAATATATATATATATATATAT